AAATCAAACAAAGTAACACCTTTATCAAGAAAAGTAACGAAAGAAAAATCATTGCAATCATCATGAGAGGATTCATTATCACTAGAAGTAGAATTCTCAGAAACTAAAACTTTCATTGATTTTCCTTTATTCCTATCCTTTTGATATTTCTTAGGACTAGGATAAACATTTGAAGTGTAACCTTTGCCACCACAATTCCTGCAAGTAAGTTCAGTTTCTTTAAAATCTTCCCCTTTCTTTTCATTTATCTTAAAATTTGAACCATTGTCAAAATTTCGAGGATTGGCCCCATTGCCGTACCTTCTTCTTTGTTGTTTTTGTAAAAACCGATTAAACTGTCTAAATATGAGAGCCACATCTTCATCAGAATTATCATGAACAATGTTATCAATTGAGTTGACTTTAAAGCAATATTAGTTTCTTTTTTAGTTTGAATAAAATTCAACATCTCAAATTTTTTCAAAGAACTCACAATCTCATCTACTTTAGCGCTAGACAAATCCCAATGTTCAGTGATAGTTTCAACCCTTGTCTGAAATCTCTTAGGTAAAGATCTCAAGATTTTCTCACATATTTTCTTATCACTAACTCTTTTGCCAAAGTGATGAAATTCATAAATAATTTCAAGAAGGCTAGAATAAAAATCAGAAAAAGTTTCATCTTCTTTCATCACAATGTTCCCAAACTTATGAGAAGCATTTGAATTTTGGACAGCTTTACTTTTAAAGTTCCTTCATGAGTAACCTGTAAAATATACCAAGTAGCTTTAGCAGTTTTACAATAAGAAATTCTAATATATTCAGATGGAACAACAGAATTAATAATTGTTTACAAAGCTTTTCCATTAGCATCATTATGTTCAGTTTCAAGTACAATGAAGGTGAAAGTATCTTTTAAAACCTGAACAACCTTACCATCTATAGTCTTTTCCTCAGTCGGAGGTGTATAGCCTGTCTCTACAATAGTCCAGACTTTACCTCTTGAATTTTGCAAATAAGCTCTCATTTTTTATTTCCAAAAATTGTATTTGTCTCCTTTAAATAAAAAACTATGTTGATTAGATCCACCATCTTTCAAAACATAAGACATGATGAAAGAATTTTTGAAAATAAGCAAAAACTTCCCACTAGGATCAACTCAATGTGTAGAGATTAGCTCTAATACCAATTATGAGTTGTGCAGCGGAATATATTGTGAAAACTTTACGTTTTTATCTAGAGAGGATTTAATCTCTTGCTTCTCTATTTTATTAATTCTACTAAAGTTACTGATTAATTAAAAAATCACATGCACTATAAAAGCAAGTAAAGTTAAGAGATGATACCAGGATTTTTAGCGAGGAAATCCCGATTGGCAAAAGAGACCAATCGTTGTGGGAAAAACCTCATGGATTGTGCAATCCAGAGCAAAACAATCCACTATGTTTTTAAAGCAAAGTATAATGAACATTGACTCAGGCTCACACCCTATCTTTCTACCAAAAACTAATCGCTGACAATCCCTAGCTTTGCGACTTCCCTGTCCAATAGTTCTTAACCTCAGGCTTATCATTGATCTCTATAGAAGAATTGCTGGTAGATCAAGCAACACTCCACGAATGTTTTGACCCCTTCAAAGTCTAATAGTTTCACCCCCTTTCTTCAGACCTGAATTTGATAAAGAATGAATAGATCTACTTTTTCTAACTATTGTAGATACAATATTCAATAGACTTGAACATGATCAGTGTTTGAACAACACTCTAAAATCACTCATGTGCCTATAGTGTGTATGCTCTTAAAAATCTCACAAAAAGGCTTTTAAAGAAATCAGAAGTTTAATGCAAAAGGCCACACATACCTAGATGAGAAAACATGTTTATATAGACATTCAAAAACCTAGATATACTTGGAAAAGAAATTAAATTCGTGCACAGGTTTTTGGAAAGAAGTCTATACCAAATAGGAAGTTTAAATAATTCAGGAAACTAAGTTACAAAAAATTTCTAAAGTCCTTGAACCGGTTTAGGAAGGTTGAACCGGTTCAAGTTGGCCAATATTGAAAAATTTGAAGTATTAACTACTAAACCGGTTCAGCTACATGGAATCGGTTCAAGTTGGTCAGACTAGAACTGAAGGTTAACACTTAAAAAAAATTTTAGTTTTGAAAAATAATTAATGTATGCAAATGTCCCAACCTTCTAACTCAACTTTCTAAAGTGTTGTTCCTACCTTTTTGTAGACTTCAAGCTATCAAATACGAACAACTCTTCAATTCCATAACTGATCTCGATTTTGAGTTTCAAACATGGAAATACAACTCAATCGGACTTGTTTTAACATCAAAATTAGCCAATTACAAAATATATATCTCATAATCTCCCCCTCTAGCAATTTCGTAACAAAACCCTAAAAATAAATGTAATCTACCTGAGCAGAAAAAACAAATTACAATTTATCAAAGAAATAAAACGAAATTTTTCTTTCTCTTGATCATTACTTGATTGAATGTTCATCTGATTATCTGTACAATGATCAAGCAAAACTACAAATGAAAGTTTAATATAAAGAAAAAAATATTTGAAAACTCCCCCTGAATTTAACATCTTTCTCCCCCTTTTTGGAACAAATTGACAAAGATTAACAAAGATAGAAAAGATGAAAGATTAGTCCATTAAGATGAAACAAGCCATTGAGATCAAAAAGATATTCCAGAATAATGATAATGTCACCCTAAGAACAAAAACATGATGCATATGACTATATTAACATGTAAGCACACATCATGAGCAAGAATAAAATCTGAAAGATAACTGATAATCAACGTAGATAATCAATCATCAAGATCAAAAGGAACAGTAATGGTCATCACATCATCACCATCATCATTAGCATCATCATCATTATCATCATAACTCCCATCTTCCTTATCTCTCATGGATGTCTCTGGAGGTGCAGATATGTAAACATCTTCTGTAGAACCACCTAGCTGCTGAGTTTGAAGCATATTCACCTCTACCCTGAGATCTTGTATCTCATCCATGACCCTTTCAAACAAAGCATTCTGATGCTGAATAAGTGAAGACTACATCAAGTTAGCATCATCCCTCGAGAAATCTCCTTTCAAAGAAAATAGCTTGTTAGAATCCGAAATTTGAGATGATGTTTCATCTGAGCCTCTCTGTGCCTTACTTGCATTCTCCCTAGCAGTCTTAGACTTGTTTAGAGCATAGAGATTCAACTCAGTCATTATATTGTTGATTAATGCTCATACCCACCCATTTATACCCATTTTACTTCCTATCAAGGTCGGATCCAAAAATTGTCAATGGGGTGGGCTAATATTTCTTTGGATGGGCTAAAACTAGTAATACATTTTTTTTTTTTTTTTTTTTTTTTTTGAGTGGGCTCAAGACCACCAGAGCTCACCCCTAAATCCGCCTTTACTTTTTATTCGGAAACGATGTGGAACACCTCTAACACTTATCCACTTGAGTCAACCCCTTGGGGTTAGGTACTTACCATATAAATTGAACACGTTATTAGACCAGCCATGCTTTATGATACTAAATGTTGGACAGCTAGAAAACAACATTCATATAATGTGTGTGTGGTGGAGATGCATATGCAGTAAAAATAGAAATGATATATTGGAAATTATCACATTTGAGAGAGATGGTTAGAGCAGCACCAACTAAAGGTAAAAATAATAAAATTAGAAATGACAAAAAAAATAAAAAATAAAATAAAATAAAATAAAAAATAAATTAACTCAATGGTTGGATTAGCATTGAGTCAAAATTTTCAAATTCCCATTGCAATATAAATTATAGTTTGAAAAAAATAATAATAATAATCTCAGTGAAAATTAAAGGAATAAAGTACCATGTATATATCCATAAATTTCATTGTATATATATGAGTCGGTTGTTAAGAGGGTTTCATGAGATTTACTTAATAATCATAGTATAGGATTTTTGTGATTTTATCCATATTTTAAATGATGACTCCAAAAATTGTCAAAAACAATTTAAATATTTCAATGCGTATGTGTGTGAGAGAGATTTTTTTTTTTTTTGGTTTTGTTTAGGTTTTTTTTTTTTACCCGGCAAGAAGGGGAGAAGGGGAGGATGGGATAAGTCAAACATAGGCCTCCACACCAGTCACAGAGTGTCTCTACCAACTGGACCACTGTTTTAAATGGAGAAGTGAATGGGTATATATGAGTTGGGTGTTAGTCACACCTAATAACTTAAGTTTTTGGGTCGGATTGCGAAGCACACAACTCGTTACAAATTGGTATCAGAGTCAGACACATTCTTTAATTCGATGTCACGTCAAGAGCCCGATCCGAAGGAGTCTGAGTTAATCACCTGGTTAACTAGGGTGGCCTAAAAGCACGAGAATCCGAATGAGAAAGTGAATGGATATATGTACGAGTGGGGTATTAGCCTCGTCTAATAGTTTAAACTTTGAATCGGATCACAAAGCACCCGACCCCTTATAGCAATCCGGCTTACCTCAAGAGATATTTAAAACGGATAACAAAGCACCCGACCCTATATAGCAATCCATCTTGCCTCAGAGATATTTAAAAAGGCTACTTTTTAATATATATGTTTCAATATATATATATTTCTGGAAAATTTTACTAGCCCCACTCCCAAATTATATATATATATATATATAATTTTTCACTAGTTTTATATATATATATATATATATGTTTCAATATATATATATTTCAGGAAAATTTTACTAGCCCCACTCCCAAATTATATATATATATATATATATATATATATATATATATATATATAATTTTTCACTAGTTTTACAATTTGGGAGTGGGGCTAGTAAAATTTTCCTGAAATTCATCCCAACCGTTGAATTTGACGACAAACAGCATCATATGAAGATTAAAGTCCCTCCAGCTATTACGCTCCACCTGTACAAGCCAACAACAACGTACATAATACAACCCCTCTTTGTTACCGAATACAGACCACTCTGCTACTTAAGAGACAGAGAGAGAGAGAGAGAGAGAGAGAGAGAGAGGTTGTATCACTGTATCTGGTCGTCTGATGGTGGTATTCCTTGTCTGAGTTTTCTCTTTCCGAGGGTTTCGGTAAGCCTAGCTCGCGTATTCCATTTTCCGTACTTTCATCCACAATATGATATGTGTGTGTGTCTGCGTATGTAATTTTTATAAGCTTTCAAAATGGAGAGAGTAGGATTGTTGTGTATCATCATTGTTCTCTTCTTTTCAAATGGGTTCTGTTGAAAATCTTATTTTTACCTTTTATTGGTACATGTGTTTGATATATATGTGCTTATATAGTTATATAAATATATATACACACATTTTACGCACATATATACACACCTTCTCTCTCAACTTAACAATATGTTCCATCTGACCTTCCTTATTTTGGTATTACTGAACTCCCAATTAGAAAGGGTTTTTTATTTGGTTTCGGGTTTGTTCTGTTTTCTCTTAAGATTTTCCATTTATATATATATATATATATATTTTTTGATGGTTCGAATATTGGGTGTAAATGTATATCTATTGCGTTTTTTTTTTTTTTTTTTTTCTCTGGATTTCATTGCTTATTGATGATTTATTTTTCTTCTTTCTTTTATATTTCTTTTGTTTTACCTGCATTGATGTCAAGTACTTTGTAGAAAATGAAGATTGGAACCCTATGATTTCCATTTGTTGGGTTTATAAAAACAAAACAATCTTTTGGATTTTCAATTTTTTCCCCTTTATTTATTTATTTTATTTTTGGTGACCAGACAGAGCATATATGGTTTCTCTGACAAAGTACTATATTTTGGGTTTAATGCTGTATAAAAAGGGTGACTGAAAAAGAGCAAAAGTTCCATACAAAAATATTTCTGTGCTTTGTTTGGTTGCTGTGAAACAGGAGGAAAATGAGTAGAAAACGAAGATTGGAACCCTAGGATTTTCATTTGTTGGGCGTACAAAAACAGAACAAGCTACGGGATTTTCAAATTTTTCCCTCTTTGTATATTTATTTTATTTTTGGTGACCAAACACTATATGGTTTCTCTGACAAAGTACTATAATTTGGGTTTAATGCTTAATATTAAGATTTCGGCAATGAAACTACTTTGGCTCACTTATTTGTACAAGATTCAAGAGTTGAATCTATGTTTAGGATCTTTATATTTCTCTATGATGGTCATTTCAACTGAGTTTGTATCTGTTTATATGGGTTAAGAAACCCTAGATGTTCATATGGTGTGCCTGTTAGGCTTTGTTAATCCTCTGTGATGCGACTTTGAGGGAGTAGATTATCATTCATCTGTGGTCTTTATCTTTCTTTATATGCCTTTATATTTTCTATAGCAAACAAGATTTGACGAACGGAACACATTTCCTGCTCGCAATTATATTGGACTATTGTCTCTTTTTGTTTTGTCCTTAAGCTTTACAATGCTAATGATCGAAATTGGTGGGAGTAGTAATATCAATAATCGTCGAGTGTTCATCCGTATGATTCAAGTTTACAATTTGTTTATGAAATCAATTTTTCTTGATTTTAGGAAATGAAGCGCCTTTGTTGGTTCCTGAACGATGATCTTACTGCCGCTGTGCTGTCTAGGGTTCCTACTATAACTTTGCTTGGTTTTAAGCGTGTTTGGAGAGAGTGGCGTCGTCTGATTTCAGACCGCTCCTTTATTCAGTCCCAGTTGAAAAGGATGGAACCTATAGCAGGACTATTTTTTCAGGAAAGGTTCCACTGGTGCAATGATGACATTGAATCTGTTAGCTACATTCCAGTCACGACGGGCTCTGAGGTGAAGCAGACAGTCCTCAATTTCCTCCCCGAGAATGTTGTCGTTTTGGGAGTCAGCAATGGCCTGCTCTGTTGTCGGAGTTGCTTTTCTTCTAAACGCCCAGTAATTTATGTCTGCAATCCCTCAAACAAGGAATGGGTGAGTCTGCAATGGCCTGCACCTGACAAAAGAAACATCTTGGCATTGGTTTTTGACCCTTTTCTGGATCCTGTAGATGTGTCCACAAATTTCAAAGTGGTTAGAGTTCATAAAATTGTGACTGAAGCGGAGGATACAGACTATTCAACTGTGATTGAAATGGAGGATTTATACTTTTCATTTGGTATATACTCGTCAGAGTCGGGGACGTGGAGGAGATCAATGGAGATCTGCCAGTGCAATCACAATTTGTTGAAGAACAAAGGCATTTGTATAGGAAAAGTCTTGTATTGGCCAACTGATGGTGACAAAGTCCTAATGTTTGATGTGGAAAAAGAGCTGTCTTGGTTGCTTACAGTACCAGTCCCTCACACCTTGCCAGAGATATGTATTGGAGAATCCGAGAGGCAACTGCATTACGTCTTGATCTCTGAAGATGGACTTCAAGTATGGGTTCTTGAGGACTACTTAGAGTCAAAATGGGAAATTAAATACTTTATTGCTCTAGATAAGATGGAGGAAGAAAATCCCGAGTTCCTCTGTAACACACAGCAGAGAGTAGCTAATCGAGGTGATATTCCGTGGATGGACCCTCTGGCCTACAAAGATGGACTTCTGTTTATGAGGGTGTCAACGGGGATCTTCTCGTATCACTTCGAGACAAGGGAAATGGAGGAGCTCTGCAGTCTTTCCGTGTTGGGGTCGAACTCCTTGTTATCTCCCATCTTGCTTCCATATTCCCTGAGTTTGGTTCCATTGCGTCGTCCTCAGGAATCAACCATCCCGGGTAACTAACTGATCTTAATCAATACTTTGGTACTTTTTGAAACTATAGAAATGGTTCAGGGGATATCTTTCTTGTTTTGTTAGTTTTTGATCTCCATCCATACGTGTCCTCTTGGAAATGCTGTAACTGATAGGATTAGCACTGTGGTGTGCTCTTTTGCTAAGCTTGAGATATTATGCATATGCTCTTAAAGATGTAGGAAAGCTTTTGGAATCTGATGTTTGTTACTAAGAACAGTATTTAAAAATTACCCAATGCATAACTTTTGCTTCCTAGTGTTTCTGGAGTGTCATTGCTGTTTTATTTGCCAGTTTGGTGGCGGCCTTTCTCCATTTTATTTTTCTTTGAATGGTAAAGCAACACGCACCCTTTTACGCACGTCCAGGCTCGGACTCCTCCCCTCCTTTTTGAGGATTGGGAGGTTATACTGCTAGGCCAAAGGCCATTCTCCATCTTGAATGAACCTTTTTACATCATTATGTGAAGGAAGATAAAAGCAAAATATATATATATATATAGAGAGAGATATTATAATGTTACCATATGTATGTCCCATGTAGCAAATAGTCCAATTGTTAAACTAACAAGAAAATACAACAGAATTCTTCAAACAAGTGTATAAACAACTTAAATGAGAAATTTTCAAGTTGTGGGTGAGCTAGTAACCTGATTTGATTTGATTCGACTATATGCTGTGTGTGCTTCATTGAAAGTGATAAAATTCCGAAATAAATGTGATAAAATTGCAATGTAAGTAAATAAAAAGTATAGGAGAGCACACCAGACCCTCTCAGTTTAGGTATCCAAACATCATAAAATGGTAGGGTGTTGGTGCTTGTGGCCAACTTTCAAGGCAGCAAATACTATTTCACAGCTGAAACAACATAATAGTGAATGATGTGCATTATACGTACATACATACATGTGTGTGGTGTTTAGCAAGACGAAGAGAGTGCAAAATCTCCCAAACCACCTCCATAGCTAAACCCGCAGGAGACCTTACACCCTTGGCGTAAAGCAGCATTTCTATGTGACCAAAAATTCGAAATGGTATTCACAAACACAGAAGCAAGAACAACTGATTTCATGGATGCAATGGTATAATGCTGAATGAACCAGTTCACCATAGTATTAAAAGAAAGTGAAATTTGCAGGACAAGAAGGTAGACTCAAATTCAATCTATAAAACAGCTCTCTCCATACTGAAGTAACATAAGAACTGCTGCCATTTTCAGCAGCGTAGCAATTGCGACATATAGGTAGACTCAATCCTCATCTCTGCAGATGGACAAATGACAAATCTCTATGCTATGGAGAAACAGCAACAGAAACTCGGGGTCTGCAATGTATCCTACGGAATTTAGTCCACTCCAGAATTTGATGCTTCACTCTATCCACATTCCAAGCAGATTTCAGAGAAAAGAAACCATGATTTCATATAACAGCATCCTGCTCATTCTTACGAGGCAATCTGCAAACATAATCCCTAGCATCGGCAGGAAAATATGCAGGTAACCTCCGTTGTCGATCCTCATTTATAAGACCAAGGACAGTCTGCGCGCTTATCAATTCTTCTAAAACCAGTAGGAACCAAATCTTTAAAATACCTGCCATCACACCATGGATCATACAACAAACGCAGCGAATTCACCAAGAAACAATTACGAAACATGGCGAATTCACCAAGAAACAATTACGAAACATGACAGAAAACAGAAAAATAAAAAGGACAAAAGTTTATATGTAGATTAAATTGTTTTTCTTTTTCTGAATATGGTGGGACATTTGTGGACATTATCTTTCACTGTTACAGAAGCATGCTATTTGTATGTTGAGACAACTTTGCAGTTCTTCTTCATATAAATGAAATTGAAGTGTTTTAGAAAATAACACAAACAAAAAAAGAAATAGGTTAACGTCCAAATGTTGGACAATCTTGAATATGTAAGGATAAAAATGACAGCAAAATTTCACACATTACAAGCACGAGATTTAAAGCCGCGCAGTTTATCTTGACAATGTTAATGATCTTCCTAACCACGCTTATCGTGGGAGAGATTCCAAGATTATACATTGGAGTCAACAAATGAAATTTCTCATGATAATGTTTATTTAAATAATGAGCACCTTTCTTAATTAGCTGGTTAGCTCTATTGAGAGCATTCATCACAAATTTAGAAATGCTACTTTTATTTTGACAAGCATATATTGTTATTACTATGGATGGATTTGAATATCTTTGAGACAATGTTGTTGTTATGAATTAACTATTTTCAATTAGTTTATTTCTAATTAATTTTGACATTATTTTGATAATGTGACAAAAATAAATATGTTTTGTTTATTATTATTATTTCTATTCTTTCTACGTCTTTGAATGAAAATAAGGCACAATTGAAGAAAAATGTGAGGAGGAATTTTTTAATCCTTATCATTTAAATTAAAAAGTATTAAGGTTAATTTCACTAGCACTTTTTTTAAATTTGAACATTTTTCACTTCCAAATATCTTTTAAAAATAAATATCATTTCGTTACTTTGTTTTTTACTGACACCTCAATTATTACTTGAACCTGACATCATATAAAATGAATTAAATATTATTTGATTTTGTCGGAACAACACCTTAGCCTAAAATTAAATTAAAAGATTAAAATATTTCTAATTTTTATAAATTTACAAATTATATATAGATATACACACACACACGTATGTATATTATGCACGCAACACAAGACTCCGTCATACAGCAAGCACCACACCACCAGTCCACCACCAACACCGGTGGCCGCCGCAACACCACTATTCTTCCCCCCACCCCCATAACCACCACCACCAGACCCACCTCCACCCCCACAACCGCACAGATCGTGAATTGACGGAGGCATTTTGGTCCGGAAGTGGCGACGACGTGGTTTAGGCAAGATCCACCCGCAATCTCTGGTTCATCTTCTTCCTTCCCACCAAACCACCACCGTCCGGCGACCTCCTCCCCGTGATTGTCTTCTTCCATCGCCGGACATTTAAGTGCCAGCCATTGTCATCATTAGTCGGTAAGTTTAGTCCATGTTGGCGGTAAGTTTAGCCTTGTTGGCCCAGTTCATCGTCGTAGCTTCACCGCGGTTTTGTTCTCTTGGACCGCCGTCCACCAAAACCCCTCTCTTCCTTATCTCTCCACCCCTTCTTTCCACCTCCAAATTAAACCCTTCTTTTTCTAGACCAAATAGGGCTCCAAAAAGCTTAATCTCACCACCGACACCACCCAAACCATCCAAATCTTTTGGGATCTCTCCAAAGCCAAATTTGGGTCCGAACCCGAACCCCAATCCGGATTCTACATCGCCGTCGTTGTCTCCGGCGAAATGACCCTCCTCGCCGGCAACTCCCCCAACGAAGCTTACTCCAAAACCAGTGCAAAAAGCCCGAAAAGCCCCAAATTATGGTTGTCAAAAGAGAACATGTGTATGGAAACAAATTCTACACCACAAACGCGAACTTCGGTGGCAAAACCAGAAAAATTTCCATAGATTCCAGAGTAAATGACGATCCGGAACAATGTTTCAGCATTAATCACAAAATGATTTTGCAAGATTGTCCCTTCTCGGAGCAAATTTGTTTTTTTACATATTTTTAACGGAGATTGTGATGAAAAATAAAGTGTTATTTTCAAAAGATGTTTGAAGGTGAAAAATGGCCAAAATCTAAAAGAGTGTCAATGAAATTAATCCCAAAATATTATATTTGAACACATATTTTTTGTTGGCAAGAAACTCACATATCCTTTTGTCCCTATGGAATTTAAATCCTTTACCTTCTAGGAATGGGAGAGGTAGGGATATCAACAGGTGGGTTCGGGACGGGACACTCCTTACGAAAACCATCTCACCAATGAAAATCTTTTCCAAACTCAATTCGAAGCGACCCACATCAAAGTTGGGGCAGGTTTGGGATGCCTTGATAAATACATATTTTGAAGAAAAATAATTCAAATTTGAACAAATTTAAGATAAATTTTATAAAACATATTTAGTATAATCAATTCTTTAATAATTATAATAACAATTATAAGAAATAGAGAGGAAAAAAAAAAATCATCACTTCTCTCTTGTCTTGCAGGAAATGGCCCAGCTTCGAACCATGCAGAATTTTTGCATCAAACAGTTTAATTTTTGCCCAAATGGAAGTCTAGCCGATACAAAAGCCCAAGAAGTTTGGATATACGACACGTAGGTAGGAAAGCAACTATTTATATGTGGAGTAACTCTGATAGTCCTTGGTGGAGGAGTAAAGGGAACCAATTCTCTAGGTGAATACAACTATCATTAATTCTTCTATAAAGGAAGAGTCGGGCAACTCAAAAGGTACGCTAAAAATTCAATACAAAGTCTTCCTTTGACTTACAATGGCTCAAGTACTAACTTAACCATCGAAGTGCACCTGACCGGCATCACTTCGGTCATTATTTCTTTATTGGCTTGTAGGAAATGCCCCAACTCTGGACCTCATATTTTTGCATCAACATTGACAATCTGAATGATCTTCTTAACCTTGCTTATCATGAGAAAAGATTCGAGGATTATACATTGGAGTCAACAAATGAAATTACTCACAATAATGTTTATATAAATAATGAACACCTTTCTTAATTAGTTGGTTAGCTCTATTGAGAGTATTCATGTGATACCCCCGAATTTTCACGTGTAGGTTGGCCAGGCCACACTCAAAAACACGGAGATATCAAAAATAATATGGCAATAAACGAACATAGAATACAAGAAGAATAAAAAGAGTAAATAATTTGCTGAAAGAAATTCTATTAATAAAATAAATCATTCCTTACAAAATAAATTCCAAAAATTTAAATCTCTAAAAATCCTGTAAGTCAAAGACCCCTAAACCATAAACTGCTAATACATCAATTCATACATAAATAAATTATCATCTAACAATAAATGCCAACACTACTTAGAAGTAGATGAGATGAATAGATGAAAAACAAGTCTCCAAGCTGCGGATCCTCAACCTCGAGACCGGAACTTCTAATAACTTGAAAAAATAAAGTATGGGTTAGACCCACGAGCAAACTCCCTCTACCAAGGCTCTGAAACCGATAAATAAAACATCTCCAACTAAAATCATCCTAATTAAAGTTTTAACCTTTAATGTAAGAAGATACATACATATATAAATAAATATACAATATAAAGGTCAAATCTATTTAATACCTTCCTTAAATTCCAAAACCGATAAATAATAATTTAATCATATCCATACCTAAATC